TGAAAAAAACTTTGACGATCTGATAGGAAAAGTCCGTTATGAATACCTGCATAGAATTAGTAATCTAGCTTCATACTGTTTCTTTTTTTTTGCTTTTTTTTCTTCCCTCTTTTCTTTTCCCTTTCCTTTACTTACTTACCTTAGGTAGATATGTAGATAGGCAAGGTGAGATGAACTATGTATATATATATGTATGAACTTTTGCCATTTGCGTTGTAAACATGTAATGAGTTCTATTTCCTTTTTTGTATTTTGTAAACCTTGCCTTTTTTACAACCTTTAATAAAATAAAATAAAAAATGCAAGTAGAAAAATAGGGACCACCTTTGGTGGGAAGGCAACAGCGTTCCATGCACCTTCAGTGTTTACTCAGGCCAGCCACATGACCATGGAGATATCTTCGGACAGCGCTGACTCTTTGGCTTTGAAACGGAGATGAGCACTGCCCCCTAGAGCCGGGAACAATCAGCACATATGTGCGAGGGGAACCTTTACCTTTTACTTTTACACATAGCTACATTATAATTTTGGAGAAACCAGGATAAGGTATTTTCAGTTATCCATGTTGTGCACAAATGCAGCCCATCCACTGCACTGAAAAACTCAAGCACTTGTGCAGACCAGAAGGACATTCATGGTTCCAGGTTGACTTTAGCTGTTTTTCTAGGTTACGTTTATACGTTAATTGGAAGCCAAATCAGAAATCAATCCTATTCAATTGGACTGTGGTCAACAATTCTGCTCAACCTCCTTGTGATCACAAATTCTTCTTCCAACTTTCCATTGAGTGTACACGAAACCACCGTCTGTCTCTCAATCTCAAAGCTGGAAGGGAGGTCAAGGATAGTCCTCAAAGTTATACTTTATGCATGATTGTACGTTTGGTCTCTTTTCCTCCCTTTCTCCTCAACCCCGCCCGGGTTTCATAAATGTTTGATATACTTTGGAAGCACAGAATGAAAGGAAAACCCATTAAATCTGGAATTGTTGTCAAGCACTTGAATTCCAAGGACTATCTCCCCATCCATGGTGCTTGAGTTGGGTTGTGAAAAATATGTCATGGATAAGACCCGGCACCTCAAAGGAGGGAGTAAACGCCAGACAACTACAAATATTTGCTTGCAGCCTTGTAGTACATCTCTCGGCATGGATTCTTTGCTATTGTGTGAAATTGTCTCTCTTTCGCAGTGACTTTGCACAGCAGATGGCCCTCGTCCTTCAAGAGTATCCAGATTCTGCATTAAACAGCCTTAATCTCTCTAGAAACCTCCTGGAGGACCGAGGTAGGATATTCCCAATGTCTCAGCACATGCTTTGAAGTAGGATTCAGATTCCCATAATCTGGCCATACAAATGGATTAGATACATCACTACTGTTCAGCTTTCTCAACTGTCATATAATTAAAATAGAATCAAAAAATAGATAGAATCAACTTGCTTCCAGAAGTTGTGAATGCTCCAACCCTGGAGGTTTTAAGAAGATGTCTGAAGTGGTGTAGGATTTCCTGCCTAAGCAGTGGGTTGGGCTAGAAGACCTTCAAGGTCCCTTCCAACTCTGTTATTCTATTCTATTCTATTTTGAATTCTATTCTATTCTAAAATAGTATGATAGAAATGGATCTGAAATTGCTGGTGGGATTATATAGCCAGGGCTATGGTGCCATCTTCCTCCACACATCGGAGGGTGCCCACACATGGAGGAGCCTGTGGAGAGTTGGTACTATGGTTAACATGTTGATCAGATCTAAAGAGATTCAGGTTCAAGTCCACATTTAGACATGGAAATCTATTGGGGGAATTAAGCCAATTATGGCTGGATCTCACATGGGTGTAGGCATCTGTATGAACTTGCTCATGTATCCTTCACAATAGAAGCCTGTGATACAGTATAAGCGGATAACTACACCATCTCTATGACTTGCCTATGGCTGACTTACTCTGCCTACAGGTATCATAGCTCTAAGCCAGACCTTCGAGCAAAGGAACAAGGGTTTCCAGTCCTTGATCATCGCAAAGACTTCTGTGACTCAGAAAGGTAAGTCCCATCCTTGTTCTTCTCTCTAAAGCTTCTAATGATGATTCCATCTGTCTGAAATCCACAAACTCTCTTTTTCACTGGATCACTATTGCTGTCCTACTGTGAGATCTATCCAGTGGTGGGATTCAAATTATTTTACTACCAGTTCTGTGGGCTTGTCAAAGTGGGCATAGCAGGGGAAAGATGCTGCAAAATCCCCATTCCTTCCCCAACCCACTAATCTGCTTTCCAGCTCCATTCTCCTGTTCAGGGCAACAAAAGAAGATCAGCAGGGAGGCAGCAGGGGCGGGGCCAGCCTATTAGCCGGTTCTCCGATTTGCTCAAAATTTCCGCTACCGGTTCTCCAGAACCTGTAAGAACTGGCTGAATGCTATCTCTGGATCTATCACTGTGACTGGGGGCAGTTTAGTTTAGTTTTGGTTTTGGTTTTGGTTTTGGTTTTGGTTTTGGTTTTGGTTTTGGTTTTGGTTTTGGTTTTGGTTTTAGTTTTAGTTGTTTTAGTTTTAGTTTTTTTAGTTTTAGTTGTTTTAGTTTTAGTTCTTTTAGTTTTAGTTTTAGTTGTTTTAGTTTTAGTTGTTTTAGTTTTAGTTGTTTTAGTTTTGGTTTTGGTTTTGGTTTTGGTTTTGGTTTTAGTTTTAGTTGTTTAGTTTAGATTAGATTAGATTAGTGTCATTGCACATCGTACAATGAAAATAAAAGCAATCTTCATTGTACATTATAACTATAAAAATAAAAACACAAACACACATCCTTCACATGCTGTATAATTGAAATTGAAAACCCAATATTGCATTAATATTACACTATACTGTAGAATTCAATATAGTTACTGCCCTGGGATAGAAGCTGTTTTGCAGCCTATTCATCCTTGTTTTTATTATCCTGTACCGTCTGCCAGATGGTAATAGTTTAAAAAAAATGGTGTCCAGGATGAGATCGATGTTTAAGAATGTTTTGAACTTTCTTAAGGCAGTGGGAGCTCTAAAGCTCTTCCAAGGAGCGGAGAGGGCAACCAATTTTACTTGCATAAACTGTAGCTTGTTCAGCTCACAGTATATTGAAATCCAACATTGTGCACATTCCTTCCACAAAATTTTCTCTAAAATTATTTCTTTGAGAGGAAGTTCCGAACGAAATTCTCTGTCATGTAATATGAATAGAGCCTGAAGAATTTCTCTGCCCAGGTGTGTTCTTAACATTATATTTTTGACCGTGTCTTGCTAGGAATGATGGCCTTGTGTCAATCTTTGGTCAACAATGGACAATTCAGAACCAGCCTTTCCCATTTGGACCTCTCTGGAAATCCAGGAAGTTTGTTGGCTGAAGGTGGAAATGTAAGTGTGACTGACCTATGGGAGCAGTTTAACAAGCTTTCAAGAAGAGACTGGACTGCCATCTGTCAGAAATGGTGTAGGGTCTCCTGCTTGGGGGGGGGGTTGGGTTAGATGACCTACAAGGTTCCTTCCAACTCTTTCAATCTGTATTGTATTAAATAATCCTGCCTTCTTCACTCCTTAGAACAGAGAGAAACAGATAATCCTAGTTCTCAGGTGAGTTTTGTTAAATGGGTTGTGAGTTTTGCCCCAATTGATGACTTTTACGACTTTTCTTGCCACATTCATTAAGTGAACCACTGCGATTGTTAAATGAGTAACACCATTGTTAAGTGAATCTGGCTTTCCCATCGTTTAGAAGGTCACAACAGCGGATCACGTGATTACCTGAGACGCTGCAACATGTGAACCTTTTGTCAGGCATCTAAATGTAAATCACATGACACGCGGGGATGCTGTAACGGTCATAAGCGTTGTGGCCCACCAGCAGCCAGTGGAGCTGGTGGCAGACTCAGGCAGTGAAGAGGTTGGGGAGAAACATGGGCCAGTCCTGGAGTCTGGGGAAGGCTCTGATGAGGGCTCTGTGTTGGAAGGAGAGATGGGGCCAGGGCCGTCCGACAGTTATCAGCTGCCTTTGGAGTCGGAGATCAGTGTGGTAGAAGAACAGCTGGAGCCTGTTCCAGATGTGCGCGTGTGCAGAGCTGCCAAGAGAAGGGAACAGTTAAGGAACAAGGGCCGACTCAGGAGTAAAGGCACAGGTGGAGGGTGAATGGCCCCTCCCATAGGGAATAAAGAGGAGCAAAAGGGGAGGGGAGTTTGCAGGAGACAATTAGTTCAATTCATTAGGGTGAAGATCTGTTCCTGACTTCTTGCCAAGTAATGGCTGCTACAGAATGGCGTTTGGAAGATATCGGCCTGGCAGGTCTCCAAGCCTGATAAGGTCTGTGATTGTAAACTCACCCTTGAAAGACTGTTTGCCGGGACTTTGCTGGATGTGAATGAGTGGAATTCACATTAGCTTAATAAAAAGGGGTTTTGTGGGACAAGGAGTCTGCTTGGTGATTTGGTGAAGCCTAGGTCAGAACAATAAGTATGAAAAATGGTCATAAGTCCCCTTTTTCAGTGCCGTTTTAGCTAAGCAAACTGTTGTAAGTTGAGCACTACTTGTAGTAAGGATTAGATGGGAAATGAAACCTGTGTGATGAAAAGACAAATTAAGTCTGTGTTATGTGGTGATTGGTGGCAGTTAAATAACTGATACGCTTTTGTCTGGTTATAGCCAAAGGCACTGCAATTCAAGCATACGAAAGGAATGTTAAAATGCAGAGGCATTTCAGTTTAATTGCTCCCAAACCAATAAAAGGAGATTTCAAAACATAAAACCATTTCACATGCTCATATCCTTTGCACTCAACTGTATCCCACAAGAGAAAAATTGCTCTCAATTTTCTGGCTATTTCAGCAAACTTTGCAGCCAGCTCAGTGACTACATAGTTTTCACCCATCAGAAATTTTATGTCTATCAGTATCTGAGGAACCGTTCTAATTGTTTACAAAATGTTCCTTGTAGAATTGACACATAATTGGTGAAAGAGTAAATAAGGCAAAATATTTGTGGTTTCCCCCCAATGAAAGAGAGATGACATTCACAGTTCACTGGTTTTGCTTGTACACCTGAAACAATTTCCCTACTAATTAAATAGAATTGTGGTGGGAGATAGAACTGCTATGGCTTTTTAAATGTTATCTTTTAAACTGAATTTATGCCATGGGTCATTTGATCAATGCTGTGATCGTTTTAATATTGTTCCACCCGCTACCATCCTGCTTATCTAGGTAAGATAGTGGATTGAAAGCCTGCACTTTGTGGTGTGACACAATCAAGTCCATATTTAGTTCATTCCTTACAAGTAAAGGGGAATATTTTAGTGAATTAAGATCACATTTAATGGCTGAAGAATTGAGAATTGAGATAATGACCAGATCATTCATCGTGGTGTTGTTGTTAGTTGCAAAATCGTGTCCGACCCATCGCGACCCCATGGCCGACGTTCCTCCAGGCCTTCCTGTTCTCTAGCATCCTCTGGAGTCCATTTAAGCTCACGCCTACTGCTTCGGTGACTCCATCCAGCCACCTCATTCTCTGTCGTCTCCTTCTTTTGCCCTCCATCTTTCCAAGTATTAGGTTCTTCTCCAGTAAGTCCTTCCTTCTCATTAGGTGGCCAAAGTACTTGAGTTTCCTCTTCAGGCTCTGGCCTTCCAAAGAGCAGTCAGGGTTGATCTCCTCTAGGACTGA